ACGGTGCTTTAGAAGAAATTTTTATCAATTATGTACGGAATCAGATTTATCTACTAGTATCAAGCAGAATCTATGCAGATAAAAGTACTGTATATTCCTCATCATCTCTTGAGGCGAGATTATCCAATTAGCTCAATTTATTTAATTAATACATATTAATGACAAAGACTTACACTTACACTTTTAATAGTATGAAGCAATTTAATTAAAGTAGTGAGTAAATGATTATCTTACAAAAAAAGTTTTTATTCTGATTACTGTTTCCTCATAGAATCTGATAATAACTTTTTAGTATATCCCTTAAGAGTAACCCGACAATTAGGTATTAATCTCACGATCTATTTTATATATTACTTAGTGTATTCGTTAAAGAATATATATTAAAGAGGATTTCACAGCGAGTGAATTTAATGTAACTGTAGACGACAAAGTGAAACTTTTATTAATATCATGAATGATTCCAAAATACTCCACTTTTCTTATAACAAAAATATAAAAAGCCTTCAATGAAGCACACAATGATAGTACAAGATATCGAATTTGAAGGTAAAACTCACAAGCATTAGTAGTCTAAAACTCATTTCAATCAGATAAAAATAGGTTGTCTAATATACTTTTTGAATTAAATACACAATATAACAGTAATAACAAGCTATGCATTCTTGTTATCTACTTCAATATACAAGACATCTTAAACAGGAAAGCAATTTACATGCTTAATTAATGAATGCTATTATATTCACAGCACTGATTCTTTGAAACGGTAAAAGATTCAAAATTAAATACAACTTAATAATTGCTTAAATAAACAAATTCTTATTCTAAAATCGCTGGTGGGTAATCATTCTGAAAAATAAAGTTTCCTTTGCATTTACTAGAAAATAAATTTGATTTTGTTTCTGATTGTTCTTTTAAACAGCAAAAAATTAGCAGCAATTATGCTCATAACAATATAGCTTCTTATTAGAGCAAATATTAAATTAATCATCCAATCAAAGAACTTCTAACGTGTATAAACTCGACAAACATCATGTGATTTAATATAATTAATTAATTAATAGGATGAGATGAAGCAAATTTGATATAAATTCTAATAAGTCATGCAAAATAACAACTTTGTAAAAATGAATATAACTTATTTGAATACTTTTTTGAGGGTTTATTTAAATATTATAATTGATAGTTTTGTTAATTAATACTGACAAATAATGCAGGCCAAGAGATTGCTTCCTCTCAACATAATGTGCTAACTTATACTTCCGCACAAAATCATCCTAAAAAATTATAAAACAATACATATATAATGGTAAAAGTTTAAATAAGTGTCCATGGATGACAAGACCTATGTTTTAGTTAAATTTTTGAGATCAAGATCTTCTGGCCTGTATTCTAGTTCAATACCCGGGATGGTACTCAACGGTGGTGTAATGAATTCTTCCACAGTATCACAATCACGTTTGGTATTATCATTGTCATTATCATCAGCATCATCATTCTCACTACTATCTAAAATAGAAATTTAAAGACTGAAATTCTAGGGTTAAATTTCCTGCACAAACAAAGATAGAAATATATTAAAAAAATTTGACTCAATAAATGATTCAAAAAATAGCTCGTAACTCTATTTTGTTGTATTCATCCAATTTATTCATCTTAAATTTAGATGTAATTATAATAAGTTATTAATTAAAAAATTATAAAGGATAGAAAAACTTAATTCTTTTTTATCATAGGACAGTATTAGATATATTCTACTAATAAATAAAAACAATGATGATATAATAATTTTTAAATAAATTATTTTTCAAACTTATTGCTGAATTGTATGCATACTTACCATCTGTGTCGTCATAATAGAATTTAAATTTTTTACACAATTGCAATTTGTGCCATTTTGATTGTGTTGGTTGTAATTCGTCGTTATGATCTTCATCATAATTATTTTGTGACTCAGAATCTCTATTTTCATAATTTCTTTTCACCTCTGCAAAAAAGATTGCCAGGATGTTTCAATTTGCTTAAAAATTATCCTTACTATGGGATTAATTGTTTTAATAATTTGTTTAATAACACGTTTTTTTTCCAAAAAATCTCATTTTCAAATCTTATTCTTGCATCTACAAAAACAATTTCAAAAATTAGGTTAAAACTGTTCGATTAAAATGAGATAAAATTTTAAAATCTGATTAAATTTTTAAATTATCAAATAAAATAAGGATTAAAAAAATACAAATGCAAGAATTCTTACTACGTTGCCAGCAATTTGAATGCAGTTTCTTGTGATGAGTTTTCCATTCTTTATCTACCCAATTTTTCTTTTCCAACTTGGCGCTTTCGGTAGCATAATTTCTTTCTAATGCTTAAATTAGTACTTAGCATTTTATTATTCTAACTCATTTTAATTTATATGAAGTAAATATTATTCTAACATAATTTTTGAAAAGCAAAAATCATTTAGTCATCATAAGATAAAATTTCAATTTAAAAAGTAATATAAAAATAAAGTGCAAAAATTAACAAAGAATCTTTGCTTATAAGTAAAATTATCTATTTACTAATGTCCAAATCAGTTATTGCATGTGTCGATGACTGTTTCACACATGAACTGATTGTTGAATCTGAATGATCATCGATGGAACTAAATAATTTACATCAACAAAATTAGTTGCTACAATTATTACACCATTTTGAACACGTTTATATATTAGTAAAATATTTTTGTGCTAATTTGTAAGTATGAAATTTGCAAAATTAAAAATAATATATCGAAAAATTTGTGAAGTAAATTTTCTTTTGAAGAATTAATTTTAAAATTTGATTAAATTTAAAGAGTATTTCTGAATGTTAACAGCAAAATAAAAAATTGTAAGCATTTATAAAAATACTACACACTATCCGAAATTAATTCCAAATTTGGTAATCTGAGTCCTTATGCAATGTATTCATATAACTTTGTTTTGATATGATTTAATTATTTACAGATACAAAAACGAAAAAGCTTACTTATATTTTTGCGCATAAAAATGATCACACAGCTCTTCGGTAACGCTTGAATCCGACATTTCTGCCTAAAATATGAATATATCCTTCTCGATTTCATATTAATTTAGCAAACAATGTAAAAAATATATCAGTACGATCTATTCTTCGTAGTTTTAATTATATTACCACTTCCTGCAATTATACTGTCTGTATTATTTTTGCTTGTTAAATTCAAAAAAAAACAATGTCATACAGTTTTATTGGGATTTGTATCTGGAAGCATAATTTCTCTACATGTAAAGTAGATTCAATTACTATTCATTCAGAAATAACAGTAATTATATTGATAGTCAACTTAATTCTGACGCTTTTCTCTACATAATAAAACATTAATAGACATATAATAAAAATTAGTAACAGTTTAATACAAATTATATAAAAAGCATAATTTGATAAAATATATTCTAAAATAATTTCGTTATTCATCATTACTGTAATATATGATAATTAAGCGTACGTCATTTTCATAAAATCAAAAATGAATCATGAATTTTTCAAATTGACAGCAGAAACAACCTCTTTTATGTCCCCGGAGCTCGTTTCATCTGAACAATGAATTTTCAACTCTGCGAGGACCTGACGAGTACTTTCACTTCTCAAATCTGTTAACCAGTCTTTTGAAAGTGAACGTGATTTGGTTGTCAAATCTTTCATGCAATTTCTCGAATCTAAATTAGTATCGTCTTTGGAATCCGACATTGTGTTTTCTTCAAAATGCACACCACTCTCGATCTCGAAATCCTCAAATTCTTCTGAATCTGATATGGAATCAATTTCGGCATCTTCAGATGAATGTTCTGCATGCTCAGTTGGGTTTTCTTCGTATACAGGGATATTTTCCTGTAACAGTTACTACGAATACTGCTTACGCTGTACATCAAAAATTAGTCTTTGAGTCTTAATAAAGATAACATCTACGATAGTTTATTCTTCATAATAATCAAAAATATTGGTACTATTTTCAATAAAGATAATTAAGTGAAAAATGGCACTGTGTCATGAGAAACTTTAGTTTTCAATCAGTAACAATGATTATTTGCTCGTATACTCAACTCAACTTAGTATTACAGCTTATGAACAACTATTTGGTCTTATTATAGTTATTATAGACTATCTGACCTCAGTTTATACAAATTTCAGTACTATTTGTTAATCCTCAGATTAAAATTTTTTTTATCAGATGAAAGAAGTAATTAAATTCAAAATTATCACTGATCTTGAAAAAAGTAAACATGGTAATCACTAGTAAATTGCAACTTTTACCTTATTCCAATTCATTTCGTCTTCGTCAAGTACCATAAATTAGATCAGCACCTAAATCTACAAAAAACTGATTATTTATTATTATTATTATTGTTATTATTGTTATTATTATTATTATTATTATTATTGGTAAACAAATCATATATTTGACACAAGTTTGACGAATATTCATAATTTTCGCATCACTAACATCGAAAATGAGATTTCGAGTATAAAATAATAATAATAGTGATGATAATAATAGTGATGATAATAATAATAGTGATGATAATAATAATAGTGTAAATAATAATAGTGATGATGATAATAATAATAATAATAGTAACAATATAAGCATTTCAAGAACACTGCAATAATACTTACAGTTTAACATTTGTATAATACTTATATTATTCGTCAGTTTTGTTATTGAAAAAATTGGAATTCAATACAAAAAGCTAGACAATTTACCGTATGACATGAAGTACGGAATTCATAACTGATAAACAATGTAAACAATAATATCATCAGTACTTCGCTTCTATCAAATCAATTTGATGAATGTAAAAAATTGGAATGTAACATTTGATCAAATCAAAAATATCAAGTCTTATAATGAAATGGGAAAACTTTCAAATATGGCCAAATTGATCTAGTAGATATTATCATGCCAGCAAGAAGACTATTCCTGACCTTTGATACTGTCAGCAAAATGAGTCTGTCATTTGACCTTTAATCTTTTGAATAGATAAGGATAAGGTCAATCCTATATATTCAAAAATTTTATTGTATGAAGAAATTGTTCATATTTTGAATTTCTCTGACCTTTGTTGTTTCACTTTTAAATGGGCACAATAAAGGTCAGTAAGTTGTCCCTTTTCATTGTTCATGCATTTCTGTGTACAAGGTCATTCAATTATTTGCATGAAAATCCAAAACACTCACACTTGCCAATTCAATTCAAAAATTTTGAATTTTAAAATATCATTTTTAAATTCATTCTTTATCCTTTCTTAAAATTTAATTTTTCCTAATATTTTATGCTTTTCTTAAATTATTTCATTTAAAAAACTCTGATATTTTTGAATTCAAAAAAATTAACATTCTTTTTTGGACAAAAAGTTTATTACTACTTGTGATTACAATAAATTTACAGCTAAAATGTATGCATAATTAAGTGAGTTATTATGGAATTGCACAAAAAAATGAGAAGCATTTATGCAGTTTGAACGAATTGATAATAATCAGCTTATCACTGCTTATCACTTCAGCATTGTCTAAAGAAGCATAATAGCTATTGAAAACTTAGACAAAGTTCGATCGAAAATTGATAAATCAATCATCTTTTAATATTTACTAATTTTTTCGTTTTATGCAAATTTCAACTAATGAAATAACTAGCAAATACTGATGAGAACTCGCTAGAACTATATATACTTTAAAACTAAAAAAAGTTAAAGTTAATTAAAAAATTAAGCTCTTGGAAAATTTGCGT